TAATGTGAAATTCAATAATAAACCTTTGAAACCAAATCTAACTGCGAGAGAAAGAGCTACAATGCGCGAAATTCATTCTAACCCGGATATTATCATTTCAAAGGCCGACAAAGGTGGCCAGATAGTCGTCATGGATAAGAACACTTACATCGATGGTGTCACTAAACTCTTAAACGAAGGACCATATAATCCGATCCCTAAAGATCCTTCACCTTCGGACTTATCCAAAATAAAAACTGCGATCAAATCTTTCAAATCTTCGCAAAATTCATTTCAAGCAACTTAAAACATTCGCTTATCCCATCTGTTTGCGAATTGTGCCAGATTATATGCTCTTCCCAAAATTCATAAAGTGGTATTCCTTTCCGCCCTATTGTATCAAATTTAGGTACTGCCTCGTATCCATTTAGCTAAATATTTAGTTTTCTAGATTTTCCACTCTATTAGACAATAACATTTACACCATAAAAAATTCAATAGAGTTTGTAAAAAAGGTTAAAAACATTTCTCCTAGTAATTTACTCATGGTTTCTTTTGATGTAAAATCATTATTCAACCAATGTCCCAGTGGAGGGTGCATTAAGATGTCTAGAAACCAGACTTCGCGAATTTCATTTCTCTTGCATCGAAATTGATGAGCTAATTTCTCTCACTCAACTCTGTTTGAAACAAACACATTTTGTTTTCCAAAATAATATTACAAGCAAACTGAGGGATTAGCCCATGGGAAGCCCCCTCAGTCCCATCCTGGCTGATATCTACATGCATTATTATGAATCAAAATTGTTTGAAACTTTAAACTTCCCTTTCCCGGCATGGTTCCGCTACGTAGACGATACTTTTACCCTGTTTGAAGGTAATAAAGATGATTTAAATAAAGTTCTTTCAACAATGAATTCTATTGATCCTGCTATTCAGTTCACTTTTGAACTTGAGACTTGCAATTCTCTTCTTCCTTTTCTCGACATTCTGGTCACACGTAACACATCCAACTTCAGTACTACAGTTTACCGTAAACCTTCATCGGTTTGCCTTCCACCACACTTTAAATCATGTCATCATCCGACTAAACAAAAGTTAGCTTCATTTTATTCCTATGTTTTCCGTGCTCTTCAAGTTGCTCCTCCTCCAAACTAGCCGTTGATGAAGAACTAAATTATTTAAAAGCAATAGCTATTGACAGGGGCTTTTCACCCAACATTATTAATCAAGCAGTTAAAAAATTCTCATCTCAACACACTAAAAGCCACACTCTTATTTTAGGAGATTATAAAAATTCTGTTGTCATTCCCTTCTTTCCATCAATTAGCTATAAAGTTGCACATATTTTGCAGAAATTTAACTTTCAGGTTGTTTTTTCTCCCATCAATAAAATTCCAACTTCTATACTCAAGGACCCCATTGCCGGATATGAATTCCTGGGGTATTTATAGGATTCCTTGCCAGTGTGGTTTAATTTACATTGGCCAAACTAAGAGAGCCTTAAAATTTCGCGTCAAAGAACATGAGGCATATGTTAGAAAAAAGGAAACACAGAGAGTCTTCTGTTGCTCAACATTGTTGGTCCGAAAATCACACTTTCAATTTTTCTGCTGCCAAAATTATTCAAAAAACATCTTCCATTGGAGAATTGGATTTTCTAGAGGCATTTCACATTCATAAAAATCTTTCTGTTCTAGTTAACGATCCTAATTCCAATCCAAATTTGCCTTCGGCTTTTAGAGAAATGATGTTTTAGTTCTGGTTTCGCCAACAGATGGCGCCACTTGCTTATTATTGTCCAGGCTTTCTTATCTTATCTAATCATTATTTCCTACCTTGTTCATTTGCGGTTTTGCAGCTGAAGATGATGGTTCGGTAAAACCATCGAAAGTCTGGAAAATTTTGTAAAACCGATTTTTGTTTGAGCTGAATAATTTGGCTATTTTCTTGTAAAGTTTTTTGAAAAATGTAATACAGTCAAAGTCGTAATTGGACCCATAATCCGGACCTCAAAGCTAAAAACTTTCTGCGCATGCGCCGCGTTGCACATGCGCACAGGCGTTTTACGCGTGCGCGTAAGACCTTGACTACTGCGCATATGCGTGTGCGCGCAAGTGCAGAATACGTTTTCGCCTGCGCGTTTAATGTATAACGTCTAAAATTATCTATTATCAGTTAATGTTGAATGATTGCGTTGTTCCTTAATCTTCGAATTGGATCCGGCTTATTATTTTTTGCAGACTGTAAGAGCAATTTTTATAAAAAGTAAACTTGAACTTTCGATTATGTCAAATAGAATTTCCGATGCTGGAACTCCCAAAGGATCTACAAAACGAAAGTATGTTTCGATGTCCATCAAACAAAAAGTGGAATTGCTGCAAAAAATGGATAAAGACATGAAGAATGTGACAGAGAGGTTAGTGAAAACGAAAAAATTTCGATTGACAAGTTAGTCGGTATTCTCGGCACAGCAATTAACGGGACTTGAACAGCGGAACTTTGTAACTGAACAAGAAATTATGTCTGTTTATAGAATTAAAGAGAAAGTATTATCACATAAAACGAAGCAACTTAAACAACTTACATTGAAAGAAATGTTTAATAAAGTAAACAAATAAATATTAAGCTTTTTTTTTTTTTTGTAAATTTTGATACCCTTTAGATCATAATTGTTCTTTATTTCATAAATTACGGTTTCATATTTTTAATTTTAGAATTTCTGCATGCCATCTTACGAGATTTAAACTGATGATCTATAATCCGGAAAAATCGATAATCCGGAATCGCCGAAGTCCCGACGAGTCCGGATTAACGACTTTTGACTGTACTATATGAAACCTGTATTTAATAAGACACACAGTTTTGAATTCCATCATTTCTACACATCGGAATTTGGTAGCCAAACCTTTATATTAGCATTTTTCTGATAATAAAAGCTACATTTTACATATCTGCATTGAAAACTTCATATGTATATTCACCTTAAATGTTAAATATATCAATTTACATATTATCAAATCCATATACAAATTTAAGCTTTAAACATTTTTGCCAAAATGACGGACTTAATTTCATTTGCCACATGATTTAAAGTATAACTTATTCAAATTCAATACTTTTCTAGCACTGTGATAACAGATCTATAGCAAGTTTTCAACCTTTTTTAACCACCCAGTATTAAAAAATAAGAAACATTTTACAAATGCAATGGAATGATATTCAGTATCACACTAAATGATTAGTTTAAAACAAATACAGAATATTTTGAAGAAAATATTTTTTTGAACAAAAACAACTTTTCATGACAAACACTTGAATAAAACATGCTTTTTTTACTCTAACAGGAACATAGTGAATAAAAAAAAAATATGTACCTACATTTATTGAATCTCAATCCAATACATGTATAAAATCTGTGGAAATTTACACATACAAATTCGTTCATTTTACAAGGAGGTGAAACAGAGAGATATAATGGCATGATAAATAACAACACATATTGTCAGACTTGATAACAGATTTGTTACGTTCTAGTCTTTTCTAATGCAAATTGAAAATAGTTTATCATAACTGCAATTACATATTGCATTTATAACTTTAAACCTTTCGACTCAACTTTTGCACAATTAAACTTTAACCACGAAAAATAGTTTAATTTAATGTTGGTATACTAAAAGAAGTGTAATATGAAAACAATATCAAAACAATAATAAGTAATAAATAAAAATTTAATAAAGTTTTTTAACTTTTCTCATTTCCTGAAAATCTCCTGGGACAGTATGTCCCAATCGTATTGTCAACTGGGACTATTTGTCCCAATCGTCTAGCATATTATGATAACCTTACATTGCATGTGAATAAATAATAAAATTATATGAAAAGTACCGAATATTTTATTCTTGCAGTACAAGTTATGTATGACATGCCGTAGTCTTTACAAAATACAACCTGACACATTTGGCAAATAGGCGAGGCTTCTTTAGTCATATACTTATTCCCTAATTCCTTAAAAACACTGCAAATGTAAAATCCCATTTAAAAGTGGGTTTTATTTACCCAATAGGGAATGAAATCTAATCTCTGGGACATATGTGCCCATTACGACCAAAAGGGTTAAACAGAATGTACAAATATATTGTTATGCCTGTATGTTTTCTGGAACATAACATAATTGCATACTGAACATTAATATTTAGGCATGAGTACCTTTATTTAGTTTGAATATTTCTCGATACTTTACCTCAAAATATTTTAATTTCAAAAATTCATTCTTTATGTTTTGCGGGTTATGAGGTTATGAAAATGAGTAACAAAAATTACACAAAACATGATCATAACTGATGCATACATGTAGCATTTCAATTTAATAACTGAATATTCCATTGGAGAACTATGGTACATTTAATTATACCGCAATATTTAACCCTTTAATTAATACACTCAACTACAGATTAACCAATGTAGTATGGCCATCCCCAATTAACCCATATCCCGGAAGTTGGAAGCATTTAAAAACAGCAAAGATCAACAGAAAAATATAAATAATAATTTAGTTGTATTTTCAAGAAATTTAATCCAGAGGGGAAAAGAGCTCATTGAGTCATGTAAATTATATACAATATTCAAAATAAAAAGAAATTACAAATAGAAAAATAAACACCATTAGATATGAAGAAAACCACAATGTTTATCAAGGAATTTTAAAAAAAAAATCACTAGGTTTAAACTCAAAAAATCGGTTTGAAAGAATCTTTTTTGATACAGTTCATTTGGAAAACATCATCTGCTATCACTGTTGTTATCTCTCACACTTTTCTACCACTCTTTTTAAATAGACACTTTGTTTTACACGGATGGTTTACAATAGCAATTTTTTCTATCATAATAACTAATTTCAATAAATATTTATACAATTTAATTTTAAAAAATTAATTTTTAGGATGCACATTTAGTAATTCCTAAATCAGTAAATTTAAACATATTTTACATTAAAGTTATATAATTTGAAAGTCACTCACAGAAAATTTTTGATCATCACTACTAGTTGAATTTGCTGATTGAAAACTCAAACGCATCTGGAGACCTTGAGCAAGAAATGTAGACTGCATCTGTAAAAGTACATATTTGTTTAATAATAGTTGCATAAACATTGCAAAATAAATATGTAAAATATTGAAATAAAATTTAAATATTTTTGAAATATTATTTCATAACGTTATTTTGATCAAATGATTATCAACAATGCATATACTCTGAAACCTCGTCTATTTCTTCATCTTTCCTCTCATGTCTACAATGGACAATTCAGTTTCTGTGCTTTTTAGGTCTTAAAACCACAAAAATTAAAATTCATCCATATGAAACAGGGAAAACTAATTATATGGCTCACTCCCCATATGCGAGTATTCAAAGCAATCACTACACTGATTTTGGAAATAATTTTTCTTTTCTTCCAGATATTTACCCCCCCCCCCCCCTTACAGCATTCATTACTTAAAAATCAAAAGATTTTAAATAAACTACACAGGTCAATTTTTAGATTTTTGTACAGTACAAAGTCCATAATCCGGTCTCATCGGCACTTCGGCGATTCCGGGTTATAGATCATCAATTTAAATCTGGTAAGATGGCATGCAGAAATTATACTATTAAAAATATGAAACCGTAATTTATGAAATAAAGCATCGTAATTTATGAAATAAAGCATAGTAATAAATAATGCGCATACATTCTCTATGTGCATGCGTAAAGTTTGTGACTTTGAGGTCCGGATTCTAGATCATTCCGGATAATGGACATCCGGATTATGGACTTTGTACTGTATTGATTTTGAAATTTCCTTCTGGATGATACCTTAAAATTATTGAAAAACAGATTGCAAAGTAACCCTCTTCTTAAGTAGGCAGAATTACATCTCCTTCTTTGTCGTAACTTCTAGTATCTATTTTATTGTCTGTTTATTTATTTACATTTTATTCAAATTTAATAAATAGCTTACATATTTCTATACCATGCGATGCTAGTTTGTTATTACATAATTTCAAATGTTATGTCACCATAAGCTACAGTCTCTTTCAAATTGTGTTTTACCTCTGCAAATTAAAAATTGTATTTATGATTTTTAGAAAAGAGGTCATAAAATCTCATGGAGGCAAGAATGAATGGAGGGGCCAACCTTGTGCTATGAGTGAAGCATTGCTCCGAGGTTTCGGTCTCTAGATGTGGTGATTTTTGTTTACATCCAGAAGCTCCGTCAACAGCGCTTTGATAGTATGACACACAGTTCCATACAAATCAAAAAACAGAACACTTCCGCATAAAAGACACATTCATTGTGTGATGGATAATAGCAATTTGTATAGTTTAGTGACACTTACGCAAAAATCACATCTTGGTTATTTTTCGATAACTAACAACAGAGATTTTGATTATGAATTTGTTTTATAAAATGCCAAAGCTATTGAACTACAAAAATATAGCAAAAATGGTATGCTTAAAGAATAAAAAATACCTTACGGTACCTTTAAAATTGTATTCGTCTTTATGTTTTGTCAAACATCAAAATGTTTTAAATAAAATAAATTTTTTTGTCATCCACATATTATTGTAAGATGTACTTTTTAAAAATTTTTAGAGGAGAGGCTTAATAAATGCTCATTTTAAATTCATCATTTTACTTTTATATAACTGAAAAATAATCACTTTGGGTTTACACTTTTTACTTATTTGTATTCACTACTTACTTGGGTTAATTAAAAAATAAAATTAACACTAAATGCTGCAATCCTCGTCAAAATTAATAAGATATAGACAGATATGCCAATAAATTAACTTTTCCTTAATTTGTAACCACACATTTGGGTAAAATTATGTACAATTTTACACAAATGTGTGGAACAGATACATTTGCAAATCTGGCAGAAGTACCATGTGTGATCAAGATGATGTGAACTATGTGACCGTGCCATATCATCAAGGCAGCTTATTAAGAATTTGAAAATAGGGTAATTGTCAGAGGTGAAAATTTGTGTATCCTGTCAAAGGAGGTTTTGATCAGGAATGGTCCTCTTATGGATTACAGATTGTTAAATGTTTTTTAGTGCATCTTCATGCAATTATTCTATTGCCTTTCACATGTTAACTTCATTAACATTCATAATTATGAGGATTATATTCTCCATTATACACCTTGCTAAGATGAAAAGATATCAGTGAATTCAGGAGGATACTATAAGCAAGTTCTTTGCATCATTTTGTACATCACAACTTTGAGATACAAAGTAGAGGAATAACATGGTCAAGTTACCAGCATACTTCAGAGGAATAATAGCTGGATATTTTTTATCTCTACAAAGTCCTATTTGATTCTCCATGCATTCGATCGATTAATAATTAATAGCTTTCTATATATATTTGGATGCTTACTTCCTTCCTCACTTTTTCTGCAGCAATGAACTCACAAGTGCCAGTCACAAAATTTGTGTTTGCCATAATTTCTATTATAATAATATCTTAATTTTCTGTTAATAATCATTTCTTAATATTTGATAATTCCCAACATCTAATTTTATAAGGCTTGCTATGCAAATGTATAGTCAATAATTGTTACAGACATTATACATTGAACAGCCATTACATTATGACCACCCTCCATCTATAACAACGCCCAGGAACAAAACCACTGCACATGTGTAGCTAATGTTGGAGTATTTAAAGCAGCTATGCATTGTCTTTTTAAACATAGCACGATTAGTGACATAATGGGAAAAACACCTGCTTTATAAAATTCTGATAAAGATTAAATCATTATGGTTCGGTGACTGAGAGCATCAACATAAAAAACTGTGCATTTAGTTGGCTGTTCATGTGCATTTGTTGTGAGCACATATTGAAAGTAGTGTATGAATGGTGAAACGACAAGTCGCCAGCCAGCAGTCTGTTGGTGACGGGGCACTGATTCCATATGAGACCGGAGGCATTGTTCGCCGTGTCCGAAGAACTACAACAGTCCAAATCACCACCATCTACAACAGTGCCAATCCCGACATCGTTTCTTAACCCACTGTGCAGTGTATATTCCTGCACATGGGCCTACAATGGCAGAGGCTGAAGCACGTAACTGTGCTGATAGCATGTCATTGTCAGCTGTGTCTGCAATGGGCCAAGAAACATCAGCATTGGACATTAGAAAAATTGAAGAAAGTTGCATGGCCTAACGAATCATATTTTCTGGTCCATCACATCGATGGGCATGTGCTAATATGGAGATTTCCAAATGATTCCCTATGCATTTGGAAATTATTGGCTTTAATAATTTGGGGTATTATGATGTAGGCAATGTTTTCATTGAGGACATTAGGACCCATAATACCCATAGAACAATCCCTGATGTCTGTGCACTATGTGAACATCATTGCAGACCAGGTTCACCCATTCATGACAACAGTATTTCCGGTGGATGATGGTGTTTACCAACAGAATAATACATCATGTCATAAGGGTCGAATCATCAGGGAGCGGTTTGAGGAACATTCCAATGACTTTCACATCACGTCTTGGCTTCCATATTCACCTGACATTAATCCAATAGAGCATTTGTGATTCTCCATGGGAAAAAAAAATGCATGCTGCCGCACTACTTCCCTAGCAATGTGCAGGAATTGCAGGACCAGTTGATGAGTGCTTGGTACCAGATACCTCAGCCTACATATCAGCACCTTGTGGAGTCAATGCCCCACCAGGTGCTGGCAGTTATGAGGGCTAAAGGTGGTCCTATATGTTATTAACAGGGTGGTCATTATGTAATGGCTCTTTGGTGTATATATAAAAATCGGATGTGTACACCACATGACTTCCTTGTATGGAATATTAAATTATACGCATTTTTTCTTGCATTTCATTTAAATTTATTGGATTGAACTAAATCTACTTCACCGAAAGCGCAAAAACCCAAATAGAATAAATGCATTCTTTAAAATTCACTCCAGTATTTGTTTACAATAGTGACACTCTGGCGCTAGATTCACTTAACAGTATTATATTTTGTTCATATTATAACTCAGATGCACAAAATTTATATCATTTAAATAACAGAATTATCTAATCGTTGCCACATGTTCTATTCAAATACTATAATAAAGCTAGAATGATGAATAAAAGAAATTAAGCAATTCACAGATGATTGAGTATTTCTCATTCAATTAATTCAGTTCTCACTTCGCGAGAAGGCAAAAATACATAAAAACTCAAAATATCTATATTAAAAATTACGAAGTAAATCTTAAACACTTATTTTCTCGAAAAATTCCAGAAAGGATTAAGCATGATTTAATTGGCAATAATAAATGAAGGCGTTATCTTTGTTGTTGCGAAGCTAAGTTTCTCTAGATTGGCAACAAATCCACTAGTCTGCTGTTTCAAATGTAAACAAGCAATAGCCGCCATCAAAAAAATTATTAGGCTTAGTGGCACTTAAACAACTTTAAAATTGTTGATAATTCTAAAAATATTGCACACAGATTTACTAAAAGCATAAAAACCTTAACCGGAGGATAAAAAACAACATAATTCAATCATTTTTAAACAAAAAAATGTACAATTTACAAACATATAAGAGTAAAGAAACTGATATCACTGAGCCGGGTAACAGAGTGGATATATATATAAATATATTTATATACGTTTGGTGCGGCCGATTGCAACCAAAATACGAGGTGCACATCTACATGTTATAGCAGTCCTATATACAAAATTTCAACGTTCTGAGGCTACTCGTTTTTGAGTTATGTGAGATATGTACGTACGCACGAACGTACGTACATACGTTCGTACAGAAGCCACGAAAAATTCTCTTCAGAATTAATTTTAGTTTAAGTTTTTTTAAGCAGTTTTATAATTTTTTTGAAGGAAAAGAGTATTTTATTCTGTCCTTACGTACAGATATGGTGCAAAAACATCGTTAAATTGCATTCGATAGCGGTCAAAATGGATATTTTCGGTGAAATATGCTGCCTGAAACTTTTCGCGATTACAATACTTCCTTTTTACTTCGTACAAGGAAGTAAAAAGGACATGCCTTCTTCAATATTTCAAGTCATCTAAATATAAACAGTCAGTATATGTTCATATCAACAAAATTATAATGACCCATTACCAGTATAACAGTGGCAGTTATTATATACATATCATTCGGTAAGCATGCTGAAACATCACTTTTATCAGGAGAAAGCATTTTACCATATGTCAACACCAAACTTATACCCAAATGATAAAAGTAGTGGCTGCGCTAAAACACAAACCGAAGAACACCTGTTTTACGCAATGACAATTTAAAGGCAAGGAAATGCCTTCTTCAATATTTCAAGTCATCTGAATGTTAAAACAGTCAGTATCTGTCCATATCAACAAAAGTTATAATGACCCATTACCAGTATAACAGTGGCAGTTATTATATACATATCTTAATTTTGTACCCATGCTGAAATACATATCACTTTTATCAGAAGAAAGCATTTTACCATATGTTAACACCAAACTTATATCCAAATGATAAAAAGTAGTGTGGCCGCACTAAAAAACACAACCGAGACACTTTTTTACGCGATGAGAAATTAAAAAAGGACATGCCTTCTTCAATATTTTCAAGTCATGACTGAATGTAAAACAGTCAGTATCATGTCCATATCAACAAAAGTTATAATGATCCCATTACCAGTATAACAGTGGCAGTTATTATATACATAACATTTTGAAACATGCTGAAAGAAATAACTGTTACTTTGATAAAGTATTTTATCATATGTTAACACCAAAATTATACCCAAATGATAAAAGTAGTGGCCACATAAAAACATAACGCAGACACTTTTTTACACAACAAATTAAGGGCAAGGAAATGAATTTTTCAATATTTCAAGTCAATTATAATGATAAAGAATCTTACCATATGTTAACACTAATTTGATATCCACATTAATAATAAGGACCACTTAAAATACAACCCAGACACTTTTATTTTACATAGATGCATAGAAATGAATTTTTCGTTACTATTACTTTTCAAGTGATCTCAAGGTTAAACAGACAGCATACATGAATGAGTAGAAAAAAAACTAATAAGGAATTCACAATAATGTGTATAACAGTAACTGTTAGATGCGAAAATATTTTTTCAACAGAAATAAATCTGAACTAACATCACTAGGCTTTGCAATTAATTTTTTGTGTCTTGTTACATGCATTAAAGTTACTAAACTTACTAGTCTATGAAATACAGCATCATTTGAATTAAAACCTACATTTTTTAAATGTTTAATTGCTAAACACCCATTATATTTTTATTTATGCTTTAAAGTTTTCAATTTGCACTCTTTTGCAATGCTTTTCTGGTTTAGTGTATCATTCTTTAATTTGCAATAATTATTTAAAAATGTGTTCGTTGATGACCAAAGAATCTGCTTTAACACTTTCTGTGACTCATGAGCTTTAGGGCAATCATAGATTTAAAAAAATGTCATTTTCTATTAGTATGTCTAGAGTTAAGTTACATGCTATATCCCTCTGATTTGCAGAAATAAAAATTCATTCTCAAATTCTTCAGATACAAGTTTTTGAATAACAACATAATTATATATTACTGAATTTAGTACATCAGGATGAGGATATAGAAGTCCTCTATCAAATCTTTTTATCCAAGACTGTCCTTCATTTTCTACAATTAATTCTTTATCAATAGTTAGATTGCCTTTACAAATATCACAGCTTAATAGTTTCACAACTTTATAACTACAGTAACCAGCTATATACATTAAAATTGGTATGTCATTTTGAACATTTTGTATATCTTCATTTGTAATAGTTATTCTTCCTGAGAAAGTGCATCCAATATTTTCTTGCTCCAGAGATTCAATACACATGTTTTTACAATTTAGATAAATAGGAATCTACATGTTATAGCAGTCCTATATACAAAATTTCAACGTTCTGATGCTACTCGTTTTTGAGTTATGCGAGTACGTACATACATATGTTCGTACAGACGCCACGGAAAATTCTCTTCAGAATTCATTTTAAAGCAGTTTTATAATTTTTTTTGAGGAAACGATTCTTTTATTCTGTCCTTACGTACAGATATTACGCAAAAACATCGTTAAATTGCATTTGATAGCGGTCAAAGGAGATTTTCATTGAAATATGCTGCCTGAAACTTTTCGCGATTACAATACTTCCTTTTTACTTCGTACAAGGAAGTAAAAATATTTTTACTTATATCATTAAGAAAGCGAAACCAAATTCTAATCTCACCTGAAAATACAGCATCCAGTAAGGAATTAAAGAAATAAAGACTATTATGATAGTAGAAAGGGATTTCACATCTTCCACAGCAGATTCATGGAATTTACCACCAAATCTAACTTTTGCCATATCTAACCATGATGGTTTGTTAATAGCAGCTAAACTAGAAATAAAAAACAGAATATTAACTTGCATTAGGAAACTTTTTTATACTTAAGTTTAACAAGATGTATTTATTCATATTACTCACATTTTGCAAACAAATTACATATGCATTTATAATACAGTAATCTTAAATAACTTGAATTCCTGAAGAATTATATTTAGAAATAAAGGATATTTTTTTAATATAAAAACTTTATAGTTTTAATAAAGGCAGCTATTTAAATATACATCTTTCAAATTTAATACACAAACTTGGTCATTCAAAAGCAATAAGGTGTCACTGCTAGAAATAATGTTTTTATGCTTAACAATTTAATGCCAGTATGTTGCCAGTGAGTAAAGCATTAGTTATTTTAATTTTCAAATTTAATCTGTCTGTTACTGATTAACAAACTAAGTGATCTGAAAGCAATAAATATGGTTATTAACTTTTTTCCACTTTCCGTTATGTTTAGTCTGCTAAGTCTATCATGTATCTTACATTATCAATTTAAGCAACTTTACTGATGTTTCGTGGTTCCTTGAGAAAGACTGAATAGTGTTGCATAGGTGAAAGAAAAAAAAAAAAGTTTCTTTTCACAGGAATAATATATATGGCCACTGCTATAGAATGACTAATGTATATCCTTCATCAAATTCTTCCAACAAGTACAAAAGTAAACTAAAGTAAAACAACGATGCAGAAATCTTTAAATACATCTGTAGCAACAGCAAATAAAGTAATAAACCAAGATTTACAACTTATGAGAAAAAAAAAAAAAAAAAAAACAAACACACACACACACACACACAATGTTCATTAGCTTTTTGATGAGGATTGCGGCCCAACACAGAATACTTTGTAGAACTCTGTATGAAAACTATTTAGCAGAAGATAAATGGAAATATATTGTGACCTTTGATTATGGTGACCAGAAAAATGCCTACAGGAAAAAAAGCTCACAGGAATAATGCTCACGGGAAAAAAGCCCACACAGAAAAAAGCTCACATGGAAAAATGCTCAATTAGAAATATGCTCACATAGATATGTACTCATATAAAAATAAGCCCACTGATAAATAAAATACTTAGAAATATCCTTACATTAATCAATCAATAATTAATCGATTGGAACATCATACACCTACTTGAATTTTCCAAAGAAAAATTATCAATTCCTAGAAATACACATCAAAAATGTGCAAAAATAGATTAAAAAAACAAAAATTAACTATTGGTAGTTACAAGAATAAAAATGATGTACAGAGGCAGTGGTATAAAATATTATAGTACATGCAAAATTTTATTATAGTTTTCATTCTTTTATATACCACCTCTTAATGTGAGCATTGGCCAATAATTTTTTCAAATGATTAAAGAATTTTTCTTTTAAAAATCAAGTAGGTGTACGACATTCAGATCGATTAATTATTGATTCATTAATGTAAGGATATTTCTACGTATTTTATTTATCAGTGTGCTTATTTCCATATGAGCATATTTCTAAGTGAGCATTTTTCCATGTGAGCTTTTTTTATCTGTTGGGCTTTTTTCCTGTGAGCATTATTCCTCTTAGCTTTTTTACCAGAACCTTTGATTACACATGGCTTTACCTAAATGACTGGGGGGGGAGTGTATTTATTATAAAAAACAAAGAGGAAAAAATGTACAAACCTGGCTCTATCAATGCAAAGAAAGTTTCAGGAAGGAATTTATGATTGTTGCAGGACTGTCTTAACAATTGGAATTTAAAAATACAACGGGTGGGAAATGCTTTTCAAATTAACTCAAGAGAAAGTTTTATGTTCAATACTTACAAAAGAAATTCCATTTCGGTTAGTCTATATTTTAAGGTACCCCTTGGATTATTGCCAAGTTGCTGTTTCATTTAGCGCCAAATTGTTGTTTCATTTATGGTAACCTGAGTAGTTGAATGTTACGGAAACCCTATTATCACGATTGGTTACGTGATTGCAGTGAATTTGACTGATAAAAATTGTAAGGACTTATTTATGCGTTGGATGTTGGTTAGGAAGTGCTTACTTTGTGCTTTACACCGTAAAATGTCTGCCAGTGGTATGATAAACCTGAAGTTTCTGTACACTTTAGAACAATTGGGAAAGAAAACATTGATTGACTGGTATGTAAATGAAGATTTAAGTGGCTTCGTTCACCTCTCGGTAAATTATGCAGTAAGATTTAACACGTTCAGGACCAGTGTCACGTATACGTGACACAACGATTCTGCTCCTACCAGCATAGCGTCGCATAATTCAACATATGGCTTCATGTACTGGCATTAGATCTGTTTTTGAGATTTATTGAAATAAACAAACTGGAAATCACGGCTCTTTATAAGTGCGCTTGTGAATTAAAGGGAAACAAGCGTTTTTGTTTATTTCGTTAGGATTTTCTTCTTCTTCTTTTCTTTTTCTATTTATTTTGAAACTTAGCATAAGCTTTCTTGGTTGATTAAAAAGTAACATTACAACATTATTACAGATGGGGAAACACTATCAGCTTTCTTGACACGTAATGCGCCTTGCTCGCATTTCTCAGGAAAGAGCCAGCGTTTTAGTTTTTCTTACTCGTTTTAATAGGTTATTATATATATAACGCCTTGAATGGTCATTATATATAATGACACAGGCATTATATTTTAGTATATAATGCATTTACTTTACATATAATTATATATAATCTATATACTGACATAATCAGCAATGGATATCCCTCCAGTGGGGGTCTTTCCTTGATCATTTTCCGGTCATCATGGACGCTGTTTTGTATTTAGAAAACAGGAAGTTTTCTAATATAAACTTGATGTCACACAGTGTTTGAGGATGAAATATCTCTGAGTGCCTTTTGAAGAAGTTTTGGGACATGTGTTGGGGTTATACAGTCAAAAGTCTTTAATCCGAACTCGTCGGGACTTCGGCGATTCCGGACTATCGGTTTTTCCGTATTATAGATCATCAATTTAAATCTGGTAAGATGGCAAGCAGAAATTATAAAATTAAAAATATGAAACCGTAATTTATGAAATAAGGAGCAATTATGATCTAAAGGGTAACAAAATTTACGAAAAAAAAAAAAAACTTAATATTTATTTGTTTACTTTATTAAACATTTCTTTCAACACGCACATGCGTAAAGCACACATCACGCATAGTCGAAATTAGAAAATTGCAACCAGAAAACTATTTGATGTGTATTCGTGATATTCATAATGACGAGGAATTTGATTTAAATCACATCAAAGACGGAGTACATTGAGATGAAATACTACATTTAATAAAGAATCATAAGGCAAATAGAATAAAAACATCTGCCCTATAGATAAGGATAGTGCTAACAGATCAACTTCCAGTTCATTGCACGAAGCGACGATTCTCCCCACCCCTGCAGAGCAGATAACAGGTTTCGGAATGGTTAGAAAAAAGGATATGCCTTTACCCATTTTTTGCAACTATTCCACTTTTTTGCTTGATGGACATCGAACTCCAGAATCGGAAATTCTTTTTGACATAATCGAAAGTTCAAGCTTACTTTTATAAAATTGCTCTAACAGTCTGCAAAAAATAATAAGCCGGATCCAATTCGAAGATTAAAGGAACAACGCAATCTGCAAAATTAACTGAAATAAATAATTAGATCATTTTAGCTTAGCTTATACCATCCGTTATACATTAAACATGCATGCATAAACACATATGCGCATGCGTAAAAGTATTATGCGCATGTGTAAATGTATATGCGTTTACGCATGCACAGAAAGTTTGTAGCTTTGAGGTCCGGATTATAGATCATTCTGGATTATGGACGTCTGGATTAACGACTTTTGACTGTATTCAGTTTCATTCCGTTAGCCATGGCCTTACTTAAAATTTGTCCAAAATCACCAGACACTACACCTTTTTGTCTAACTGGAAGACAGTTTCCAAAAATTGACGGAAAGGTAATAAAGGTGAAGATGCATTATGTGCGCTTAAAGCAAGGAAAAGCGAAAGCAAACAACATATTTTGAGTGTGAAATATGCAATGTGGGACTGTGTGTCAATCCTAGTTTTGAATTATTTCACACACAGCAGAATTTTTAAATTAGAATTTAATTACCTAAAGGTAATTCTTGTTTAGTTTTTTTCTTTCTTTCTTTCTTTCTTTTTTTTTTTTTTTTAAATTTCGTATTTGTAAATTTTTTTCATGTTTATAGTATTTACTTTTGTGTGTATAGTTATGATTTTAGTATTTTGCCTGTTTAATTTATTTCTATATGATATTCTTTATATTAATACACATTAAAAACAAGTACATTAAATACGCAACTTCTAAAATTGAAGTCATAATATCAAAATGCTGATTTTATAAAATTTGTTTTGTAAAATTAGGCTTAACTGCTGAAAATGCGCGGGCCGGTGGCGGCGATCTATTTCAGCGAGTCCAGTCCTGTGACTGCACTTCGTTCTCCCGACGCTGGTCCTTAAAGGGTTAAGAATTTAGAAACCAGAGCTTATATCAACACAATGAAGGTATGTGGGGTGTAATAAAAAGGAATTTTCGAAAGAAATGCCATTGACAGCCCATCAGTACGGAGAATATTGTTCATTTTTACTTTCATGAATTTATATAGTGATGACAGTATATACAGATTCTAGTTTAGATAATTTTAAATATGTTTTCGATGCTGTTAAGGAATTTTGTATGTATCACATACCAAAGAAACAGAAATTTTTCAATAAAGTAAATCGATAGTTCCTTTTTGTACTTCAAAGATTACATAACATGTACTTCCATTCTTATGTTATTTCCTTGTTTGATTTAAAATGCAGTTTACTGAGATTATATATTTTTGTTTTAATTATGTTTTATTGTGTTATGTTTTGTACACCATTTTACTGGGGAGGAATTATGTTTCACTGCATTATGTTTTGGATGCCATTTAACTGGGAAGGGCATTGGACATAAACAGAAATACCTTGAAATATGTTTTTACCTCCATTTCTTTACTTTAATGAATTTCAAAGACTGAAAGTTCATCATGACAAAGCAACACGTCATAATTCAAAAAGTATTAATGCATTCCTTGAAAATATAAAGACTGATACAGGAATTGCATAGAGTTTTTCAACATATTCCCGCAAAATCTCCTGGCATTTCACCTATAGACTAATGCAACTCTGGTCTCTTGAAAAGAGCTCTTTCTAAGTGCAAACCAAAATGATTGATAAACTCTCAAAAGCAAAGGAAAAGAAATGGAAATAAATAGCCCTAGAAATTTTAAGAAAAGCCCCGCCTTTCATGAAATCAGGATACACACTTATAATCTATATAAAAAGGCTGTCAGATTGAACACTTTGAAAAACATTCTTTACATTTTCAAAATTAATTAAATAGACTTAAAATCACTCTACAATGTGTAAAACAATCTGTATAACTCATAGGAAATCACAGAATTAAAAATTTTACAGTTGACTTTTAGGTGACCAGTTTTTAATAATGCAAAATCCTTTGGGAATATGTAAAAGATGCCTGTCTTAATAAAGACATTCTGAGGTTTTCAGAACAGTGATCTTTTGGGTTTACCCAAGGTCCATTTTTGTAAGGTAAGAAAGGATTATAAGGAATTTTAAAGTGATTTTGAAAATTCATAAAACCTGGGCCCTAGATCTGTATATGCCGAACAAGTAACCGGAATCTAGAGTTACATTATCTTACTGACAAACCAAATTTGAAATCTCTGTAGACAACACATCCTACATTATTACTGCTGTGCAGGCAACAATATAGGCAATTATGCATTATGGCAACTCAAGAATGTAAAAATACTTGAATAGAAATTTAATAATTTCAGTTATCAATAATTAAAATAACATACCTAGAACTTTCATTCAAACGCTTTCTTACTCCTTTATTTGCTCGATTTATTTTCCAAGCATCCTTCAAAACGGAAAAAATTCGAGATATAGAACTGCCACTTGCTGACTGGTGGGTATAAAAGGGGAAAGTAAACCAGAACAAAAAAGTAGCACAACAAAGTAATGCAGCAGGAATAATATAACCATATTTGAAACCTTTATACATCAGATCTCTTGATTTGAAGTCTTGCTGAATGTATGTAATTCCAAGTATTGCAATCAGAGCTCCAATATTTACACACCAGTAAAGCCAATTGAGGTAGATTCGTAGTCCATTCGTTCCACTATAACGGACCTGTTTAAAAACATTAAAAATTTAAAAGATGAAAGAGAAAAAAAAAAAAAATTACTGCAACTTTCCTCAATTTTTAAAATATTTACTTATATATTTACAAATGCCTGGCTTTTGTCATTCATGGAATCGAGGTTTTGATTCTAGTGACTTCCATGAGTATTAGCCAGTCATTAGTATGCCCTTAGGCGATAGCAGATTTAAAAAAAAAATAAAAGATGCTCTACCGTGAGCACCGCATCCTGGGGATGAAAACAAAAATTTGGAGGTGGCGAAGCTATGAAAAGAGCATTGACTTTCCCTTATCTGTAGAACTTCCTTCACTAACTGTTGAGCGTTCATACATCGAGGTCAGTCACATGGGTGGCCACCCTCCCAAGGATTGACCCCGAATTCTGCTGCTTGAACAGGAGGACCTGTGAGATAGAAAATTTTAGTTAAGAAAATGAAATCAATCCTTAATTCTCACGAATTTGAAGGGAGATGCAATCTAATCTTCATCCTCTGCAATTTTCATGAAATACATAGCAGCTCGGAAACCTGCGGAAAGTTTTTCTACAACTGTCTTCGCCTGCCTCATTTTTTCGATATGTATGACGATGTTACTTAGAAAATCCTGGATCTTATCATCTTGGAGCCATATTAAGGCTTCGTTCGCTTCTTTTGGAATATTCAGTCTTTTTCCCTTCACTTTTTCACTGAACAGAGATCTTTAATCTGTCTTATTATCTGTCCTTGCATTTATTTTTTCTGAATTCTTCAGCTTCGGGAAATCTTTCTCTGTCATGGTAGGTGCAGGAGGCCTTTTCTTTTCTATGTTCTCAAATTTTTCTTTGTATGCTCTGCAACCACGGTAGCTACTAACGTGCCCTTCTCCGAAAAAACTGCAGTTTCTTTGGACACAGTTTGGTACTATGACCTCCTCCGCATTTGCAACATATTTCCATGTACTTGCATAAATGCTGTGTGTGGCTATATTCCTGTCATCTTTAACACTGTGTGGGACGTTTTCTGGGGGTAAACTTCTCAATTTGGATATTGAAACTGAACATGTTATTCAGATTGAAGATGGCACTTCCAGCATTGTTTCTTTTCAGTTCCAGGAAGAAAATTGGCAGTTTTTCCTCAACTCCTTGTCTGGTTCTGGTGAATTGCCTTACTTTTATGATTGGGAATTTACGTCGTTGAAGATTGCATCTCCTGAGACTATTTCTGGAATATTCTTTAGGACTGCTTTCACATTTTTCTCACTTGTAAGTTGATATGTGTGATATGGGATACCTCTTTCACTCAGCATACTTGTCATTTTCCTGTAGTCATCCGAGTTCTTTACATACACATAGATATTATTTGTCTTCAAATTCTTCTGTACAGTGGTTTTTGAAAATTTCATCTACTTTCAATCAGTCTGTTGAATTCTGGGGAATACAATGGAAGGAGGTGTTTCCTTCAGGGTTGCTCCTTCTTAGCCTCTTTACTTTCAAACTCTTTGAAACGATTTTCATGTGTTACTTCCATAGCTTCCTTTTCAGGCGATTTTGCCGTTTTCTTTGGAAATTTCCATTCACTGTCCGATTTTTCATTTTCAGTCTCCATTTGAATTTCTGCCTTTTCTTGCTGACTTTCGTTCCGTTTGAATTTCTTCGGATTCTGTTTTACAACGTTTCGGTCATTTGCTTTTTAAGCGAATCATCTCCTCTTACCATGTTCGTAAACTTTTCTACTTAAAATTCCTTCATTAGCGTCACTATTGCTCCAGTTTGATCTATACCTCCAGTGTCAGGGGCCTCAGTCAATTAATCAGCGCTGGTTTTATTGTTCTTCTTTTCACCCTTCTTCACAAAATCTTTTTTCTACTTAACCGGCTGTGACTTCGTAGACCGTATTGAACATTCAGAATTAAGGTCATCATCGTCTGTAAGATCATCTACTGTCCTAAAGAAGGACATTTTTGCATATCCTAGGGTACCTAAACAACAGCACTAATAGCTTTTACAATTTAGTCAGGAAAATGAGTCAGAAAAAAATCTTTTTACTGTGCTGCTAAGAACTAACTGCTCTGTTGACCGCCTACTTGACTGAGTCAACTCTGACTCACCACAAAACTTGTCATTTATGCCACTAGCAGTATTTCAAAAATACTATTGAATGAAGAATAATACTGGAGACCAACCTATCATTCTCAACGTGGTAAACAAAAAATATTAGAAACAAACTCTAGCAAAATAGACAAATGTAACCACAGACTTCTAGACAATACTTTGATTGAAGGGGGGAAGCAAAGCTGAGGTCATAAAGTTGACATCTTACTTTCCTCATTAATTCCATCTGCTTATTCTGCAATTTTTAAGGCTAATTTGAACACAGCAGAATTAGCTCATGTGGACATAAGTTCTAATTGTTTTACTCAACCCCCCAGCTGACATTTGAACAATGATAAAATCTTACGTACATTGCACAAAAAAAAAAAAAAAAAAAAAAAAAAAAAGAGTACAGTTCTATATCTTGCGTTCTACAGGGCCGATTGACGTGTCTCGAAAACACGACTTAGGATATGTGTTAGAGTTAGACATAGCATTGTTCTAATATAAATATTTTGACAAAAAAATTGAATTTTTCTGATATAACATCTAAATTTTTTCCCATAATTTGATTCGGTACTTACGTATTATCGCAACTAGGTTGGCGCGATTTGCAAGTTTGAGTAAAAAATCTTTTTTTTATTACATCCTTCTTTTCACATTTCAAAATTTAGGTTCATTCCACATAAAATTCATCCACTTTTCATCATATATTTATGAATAGAAAGAAAATGTACATTTATTAATTACAGATAATTTTTAATACAGTTTTTTATATTATTTTGTTTTAAAATATAAAATAGCAATTAAACCCTTCCGGTTTCGAATTTGAATAAGTTGCAGAATTATTTTTTCGGCGGAAATCTTTTGGCTATTGCTTTTAGCACTGATTGAAAACCGTCTTCGCCATTAACAGCTTGAGCTTGGCGACATATAAATTCAATAAGGATTGAGTCAAGATGATGACGGGCTGTTCCTCTGTTTTTTGTTGCACCATTTGGCTGAGCCCCACATGCGCTCTATATGTTGTGTGTGAACGCCCGTGTTGGGATCCACAAAGTTATATTTGTGATTAACAGTTCCATGCAGAAATCCAGCATTTTCGAACTCACTTGTATTGCATCCTTTCCAGCAATTCGAATAAATGATGTTTCCTTCCTTGATATTTTCACAAATTTTTTCCATGAGGGTAACGGCGCTTCTGTTAGGTACAGTAACCAAAAAAGTCTCTTTCTTTTCTCGGCAAATTCCGCCGAAAACCCATTGCTGTGAGTAGTACACGCCCAGCGTTATTTTTCTTTTTACAAATAACATTCGTTTTTAGGGTTGCGCATAACACTTAGGGTTGGCGATTTATGCGAATTTTGGCCTGGTTGCGTTAATACATAAGTACCTTTGATTCTATGACTCAAATTATGCCAAACTGCTACGTTTTGTAAAAATCGCACAAGTTGTTTTTAAAAAATTAGCTCTCAAAATTTTAGCTCCTACATGTTAATTGAATCTTGTATGTATTTATTAATATCCTTTTTTTTATTACATTCTTCTTTTCACATTTCAAAATTTAGGTTCATTCCAAATAAAATTCATCCACTTTTCATGATATATTTTTAAATAAATTTTATAAATTTTTCGAAAAAAATTTTGAATTGTAACCTATAAATTTTTTACCATCATCTTAAAGTACATGTATTTCTTAGCATACCTGCAAAAAATTAAGAGTTTTTTATTCAAAATTTCCTAGGATATACATGAATTTAAAAATTGGCGTTTTGAAATTTGGCATATTTGTTATAAGCGATAATAACACCAAATGTAGTTTACGCACTTTGAAAATTATTTGAAAGTAATCGACGTGATTTTTTCCCCGCTCGTTTACAATGAAAAAAAAGGGAAAGGAAAATAGGTTGTTATAAATTAAGAAGTTCGCCAAGTGAATTGTTCTTGGCGCAAACTGAAAAAAAATGAGCCAAGATAATTTTTTTAATTTCTCCATAAATTTCACACCAAATTTTACAAAATTTAATACTTGGGCATAATTTGAGTCGTGTCATTTCAGAAAATGTCCGATTTTGTGTCAAAATACGTATGTTACAAAAATGGTATATATATATATCTAATATATATCCTAAGTCACACTTTTAAGACATGGAAAACACAATTTGAATTTCATCAATCGGCCCAACAGAACGAAAGATATAGAACGCGCAGTGTACATTATAACTCCTTAAATTTTATGCCATCCAATAGGTGACTATGGTGAATTCCTCACCATATCTCGTAAATGAATTAAAAATATGGATCAAATCCAATTTTGTAATAAAAAATACAATTATATTATAAACACTATATTGCATACTATATAATAATATATTTGTGACTACATTCCTGGTTATTTATTGACAAGCTGGTTGGTAGTATGCATTCTGTATCTCATACACTTTTATCTTTGAAGGAGGGCATTTTAAGCAATGAAAATTATTGTGAAATTCATACTATAAATCTTAGCCCATGAAAAATTTTTCGAATTTCACTAGGTGTTCTAAAAATTTTGCCCTTTCTCTTTTCACAGCAAAATTATCACTAATCACCATTAGATAAGTAAATATGCTTTAAATAAATATTATGGAGAATATCATCAGGTATTCAATTATAAGTGATAATAATTACCACATTTGCTAGCATATAAGGCACACTTTTTTCTTTGAAAATAGGTCTGAAAAATGGGGGGCTAAAGTGCAGAATCGCCCACTTATTTGATTTGTGTCTGTTTGGCACTTTTTACAAGAGTAAGAAGAATTGGATTTTTTCTTTGACTTTTTAAGTGAAACTAGGTCAATGTGTACATGGATAAAGTCAAGGAAGTGCACAATGCCATTTTTGTGCAATTCTGGGATTTTTTTTTTAAGTGCAAACAGTCGA